CTCAGTATTCTCAGAATTCTGGATTAAAAGATCATCATACTGCGTCATCCACGTGACTTCATTATGACTGGTCAATTGCTCCGTTGACAATACCTATTTATTAATTCATATGATTTTAATATTTAAAGATTTAATATAAATTTTTTAAGTTTATCTTTTATTTAGATAATTTTATTAAACTTATAGAACTTTACTTAAAATTTTTAAAAAATAAGTACTTGAATTTATAATTTTAAAAATATTATGATAAAATTTTAACTTTTTCTTATTAAAATTTAAAATTCAGATATTATAATATTTTATATAATAAAATCTTATTTTAATTCTCTTGAATTAATTCTAGTAGAGTCTAAAGAAAGAAAATAAGTATTTGAATTTATTGACTAGTAAACAATTTGAAGGAACGGTAATATTTCGCAGATATACAAAAAACTATCTCAATACGTTATAGCGAAAAATAAAAGGAAAAAAATTTAAAAGATATTTACTTTAAAATATTACAATACACATGAGTTGCTTTCTTATTTTTTACCCTTTATACATTTATGTTATACAGACGACTTCTAAGGGAGGGATTAAACTTTTTCAAAAAAATTTTAAATATGCTATATGATAAATATAATTAGTTTAATATCTTTAGTATTTTTTTAGTATAAGAAAAAAAAGTAAGACTTACCAAGGATAATGCCTGAAGTACTTAGAACTATTCCAGCCGTTCCGAAAACTGAACCTAATAATAAACTCATTATTTATGATGCAAAACAAAAAAAAAGAATTACAATACCCATAATAATACTCACGAAGTATGAAATTCTTGATCTTTCCTATTTCATCCCTAATCTTATCTACTTCATCCCTAATTATTCCTACTTCATTCCTAATCATTCTTATTTCATTCCTAATCATTCTTACTTCATTCCTGACCTGTTTAATCTCGTAATTTTTGAGGTCGTTGATTTTATCGACGAGAGTATTTTTAACTACATTAAGTTCGTGTTTGGTTACTGTATTCTTAGTACTATAAAGAAAAACAAAAATTAGTAAAAAAAAAAAAATAATTATAAGTAATAAATTAACTATAGTAAAAACTTTTGGGGTATAACCGTGACTTTCAAGGTCTTTCAAATGCTTAATTTGGGTATATCTCTATAAAGAATATAATAAATTTCAAAATATTTTCGATTTTTATATATTTAAGCAAAATTTATTATAATTTATCTACCTCGTTTTGAATAGAACTGTTATATCGAAAGAATTTCTTTGGATAGTTTTGAAAGGCAACGAAAGATAATTGTTTTACGTGATTTTGATTAATAATCAAAATTAGTTATGAAAAAAATAAAATAGGATTGAAAACTTATCATTTTTTTATCAACCTATTTATGTTAATAATTTCAATCTCAACCAGGGTTGAAAATTTGACTGTAAAATATCGGCCATTTTGTATTATTTAACTAGAGTCTATTATGAATACAGAAAGCCTGACTATAAGAAGCAGTATATGATTTTGGTGATTTTCCAGAGTAACCAACAAAAAATCACCAGCACGTGACATATGAAAATATTTGTCACCCCATGTCATACCCAATTTTCATAAATGCTAGTAAATACCCGTTGTCTAAGTAATCAAAACTTCAATTAGCTTCAGGTAAGATTGAAAAAGAGAATTTGATGGAAGGTCTTGAAAAAATATGGGTCACGTCAAATTTATTTAATAATTTATTTAATATGATGTAAATTTCGAAAAAAACTGTTTGGAATATATTGATATAATTTATTATATGGTGCAAACGGCTTAGTCGCATCAAATGGCTAAGCCACCGCTGAAAAATTTGCCGATCATTTCCATATTAAATTAGCGGTTTTATTGGTCAAAATTATAGTCATGTGAACAAACTATAGTCACGTGTTCACAGTGTTGGCACATGACATCATATGACTTATATGACTTACATGACTTGTCATAAGTCATTTATCATTTAAATAGATCTTATGACTTATGACTTTGTCATATATTTCATAATTTAGGCCGGCATTATATTTGGCCGGAATTATTAATCAAATCATATCCATAAAAGGGAGTTTAGTTACACAAATACTTAAAATGACAAATTTGGGATTTTAAAAATGTTACACAAACTTTCTTGACTTTTGTGTAACGCTACACAATTACCAAATAAGGCGATTTATTATTTATAATTCTGGCCGGAATTAGTTAATCTATATGACTTTATGACTTATGACATTTAGTCATATGACATATGACTATGAAGTCATAAAAATTTTTATATGACTATGTTATATGCCAACACTGCGTGTTCATAGTTAAACGCGTCATTTTACCATTATTTGCGATAATTTTATTTCTTTTCTTATATCTCAATTAATAAAATTAGAATGCCCAAATCAAATAAATGAACCAGACAGTCTCGAAAAGCCATCAATAAGCGTTGAAAGCAAGCAAAAGGTTCTGAAAAAGTAGTATTTGAGCCATCAGATGCCGAACTGGATGAGTTTAATGAATCATGGTTTGGCACTTTTTGGGTAGAAGGTAAGGAAACACGTTTCGATAGCGATGAAATTACAGATGAAATACAAGCATGGAAACAAAACACATTAGAACATTTGATAGAAAATGCAAAATCGCATATGTGGGCTGTAAATTCACGCAAATCAGTGTATAATGGTGCTGCAAAGTCAACATTGCGCAACAAGAGGGCATATTGGCGAAAAGTGACTTTAGGTTCTAAGAAAATTATTGAAATGCTTTAAACAAATAAAGCTGCTGAGCCTAACAATACAGATATCGCATTTGATGATCCCATATTTGATGATCTAGCATTTGATGATCCATGTGACAATAGTGATGATGATGATAACGAATTCACATTAGAGTCTCTGGATTTATTATTAAAAAAGAAGAATGACGATTTGCGGCTTCGAATGGTAAGTCAATTTCTCCATTTAGTTTAAAACCAAAAATATAGCAAGATGGATGCAAGTAATCTCCTTGCCCAGAGCTTAAACAAAGGTCCATGTCAAGCACGGCTTATTCGCTTCTGGACAAATCAATGGCTTAATAATGGCATGATTGTTACGTCTAAATGTGGACGTCATGCAAAAATCAGATCTCTTCTTTTGCATGAAGATGTTAAATTGTGAGTTACTGAATATTTACGTGCGTATAAATTTAAGTTGAATGTTGCTGATTTCATAAAACTCATTGAAGATAAGATTATCCCTGCTCTTAAAATAGAAGAAAAGATAAGTATCTCACATTCAACTGCACGCAAATGGCTACATATACTTGGTTGGCAATATAAAGACCATTCAAAGAATATTTACTTTGATGGTCATGAACATGAAGATGTAGTTGCAGATAGAAATCGATTTTTGCAACAATGGGCAGAATTACGAAAACAAATTGCTATTTATGAAGGCAATAATTTGGACCAAATAATCACACTTGCGCTTTCACATGGTGTTTCTGAGATCATTCCAGTTACCCATGATGAATCAATCTTTTATGCCAACGATGATATTGTCAAAGCTTAAAGTCCAGCAGATGAGAATAGACTTTGTCGCAAGTCACAAGGTCTTAGTATATACGTAAGTGACTTTCTCTGTGAGTCTATTGGACGACTTTGACTTTCAGAAGAAGATTGTTCCGCTAACAATTTGCTTCCTGATGGTGAGCGGCTTATGCATACTGAAGCCTGCATCACAATGTATCCTGGTATGAATCGGGATGGCTGGTGGACAAACAAAGATGTTATTGATCAGGTAAAAGAGCGAGCCATTCCAATATTTGAACGAACTCACCCGGGAAAGTTGCACTGTTTATGTTTGATAACAGTTGCAATCACAATGCATTTGCTGATGATGCATTGGTAGTTTCAAGGATAAACTTAAAAGATGGCGGCAAACAACCACTCCTCCGTAATGGTAGAATGCCTGATGGCTCGCCTCATATAATGACATTTGCAGATGTTGATGGTGTGGTAAAGCTCAAAGATATTCAACGAGTTCTTGAAGAGCGTGATTTGTGGATACCGGGTTTGAAAAGAAAGTGTAATGCATATACGTAACACAACCCTGATCCAATAAAGCTAGACTATTGCATAACACGTATTATTTTTGCACAACCTGACTTTGCATCACAAAAGATACACATACAAGAGGTAAATTACGGTTAATAAATTATTCAATTTATGCATTCAATTTAACATTTTTTTTTAAAAAATACTTATCTTTTAGGTTATTGAGGCAGCAGGGCATATGTGTATGTTCTACCCGAAGTTCCATTGCGAATTTAATTACATTGAGTCTTTCTGAGCGGAAGCAAAATGGTATTCACGTGTTCATTGCAACTACACATTCAAGGACCTTAAGGAGATTGTACCGCGTGCATTAGATTCCGTTAATCTAACAAAAATTCGTCAGTTTGCACATCATTCTGCACGTTACATAAGCGCTTATGAGCTTGGACTTTCAGGTAAGGTAGCTATTTTTGCAGTTAAGTGGTATAAATCTCATCGTCGTGTTCCTGCAAATGTTTTAGAAGAATTTGGAAACATGTAAAATTATTGAATAATGATTAACCAATCATATTCTGACATATTATTTATACGCACCAATCATATGTCAAGCACGTGATATCAGAGGCGCTGAAAATCCCACTATTACTATTAAAGATAATGTTAAAAAAATCCTAACTACAAAAAACTTTTATAATAAAATCAAAAAAAAAGATATGTAATATTAAAGAACATACCAAAGACTATTTAATAACATATTTTTTTTTAATGGTTATATGTTAAAAAAAATTCCTTTACATTTTAAAATTCTTAAAAATCCTTTGATGCGACTAAGCCATTTGCATTATAGTAAATTTTATATGATATCATATTAATGATATCAGATGATATCATTTTTTATTTAGATAAATAAACAATTTCCAACCATCACATCATTTTATTTTTCTTTCTCTCACCTTTATATAAATAAATCAACATATTGAAAAATACTTTTTGAATCACCGTCATACAAATTGGAGTATTTCAGGACTCTTACAAAATTTATCTGGAGAAATTGATTTCACAAATGTTGATGCTACAAATATTCTTAATGCCTTTCGATAACACTTAGAAATTGTATTTAATAGCCGAAATGTCTTTAAGAATGCGTGAAATAAGGCTAGAGAATTAATATAAATCTTGGATTTAGAAGAATTAACACTACTTTTAGAAGGATTGCAGGTTAGCTTTCAGAGTTTACTTAGTATTGTTTTTTGCCAAATTCTAGTAAATTTAACTTACACTATTCACTCTCACTCTCGCTCTCGCTTTCTCTCACTCTCTCTCACTCTCTCACACACTCTCACACACTCACACTCTTTCTCACACTCTCACTCTCTTACACACTCTCTCACACTCTCTCACAGGGTCAAGAGAAAGATCTAGATTAACGAAGTCAACAAGATGATGACCATCATTGTTCTGAACTAACTATGATCAAAAATGAACTGGAAAGGCTGTTAATCATATTAAAAAAAAATTAGATGAGGAAACTCGAGATTGGTTGGAAAATTTATTTGAACTGAAGAGAATGTTAATTGAAGATGAAAATAATTCTATTTTCAATATGCAATTCTAAAGAGCTAAAAAAAATTTAAACTGAAGAAGAAGTCGAGTATTTACTAGATAAACTGAAACAAAGAAAAACTATAATTACAAGATTGAAGGGATACAAATTCTTAATCTAGAAACCATACAAACTAACTCTTAAACCTAGTTTAATAATAGAAAACTGCTGTAATTAATGAAAAATAATATAATAATAAAGTATGCTGGCTGTGCTTATTTTTAATTTTATTTTTTTCACTTTTTATATTACTACTCTGGGATTATAGATTATCCTTTTTTTTTCTTTTTTAAAAAATCAGAAATAGGTCCTTTTAATAATTTTCATAATGAAACTTTTACTTTCTACTTTATGCTCTTGTTTTCATTATTATTGCTGCCAAAAATGATGTATAATTTTTTAAATAATACAATTAGGCACAAAAATGGCTGGTATTTTATAGTCAAATTTCAGATAAATATATATATATTGGGTTTTTATTGTGTATGATTATATAAAAAATAGTTTCAAATTGGAGTCACACGATATTGACCTATAAAGAAAGATTTTTTAGATCAACCGTTAAAGAATGAAATAAATTTGTATTCTCAAAAAGGTTCTTTGTCACAATAAAATTGTTAAGTTGGATTACATCCTAATCATTTGCATAAATTCTTATTTGTCTAATATTTGTACGATTATTCTTTATCACACTTAAATCATTATACTTTATTGTTTTTCATAAAATATTATAGAATAATGAGTCTAAAGAGAGGAAGCATCTCCCATAAAAAAATAAAGATACTTTTGCTATTTAATGCTTTTACAATATAATTTCTGAGATAAATTATCTAATATTTAGGCTAAAAGTTTTACAATTATGTCTATGTATTTTACTACTAGAGTTACTTTTCGATCTATTACTAAATTCTTGAGGCAAAAATTTAGTAGAGAAAAAATAAAAAGGAAAGAAAATAATTAATTATCCCTACAAGAGTATTCTGTCACTTTAATTTTGTGCATCTATATAAAAACAAATCATATATTTTACTATATAATAGAGTCGTTTAAATAGCATAGTACTTCTAAATGCAAGAAATAATAACAAAATATTATTATGTAGATTGCACTATTCATTTATAATAAAATTCTGGCTTTATATATTTATTATTCTCTTAATGTTTGTCTGATCTAAAATTAAAATTAAAAATGTCTGGCGGAAGGCTTAGCCTTTGAATATAGTAATAGCCAACATTACCAAATTATTCCTTTTTTTCACCCACAAGGGCAGATGAATCTAGATACACAAATCTGATGTGATTGGAAAAAGAAAGTGCTATGCTACAGAGAAGGAATAATCCTTATAACTATATCCTACTGTGTAGTAGACTTAAAAACTTTTATAAGGAACACCTTGTATATATTTGGTTATCTCCTAATACCTACCTAGAAGGCAACATAGGTTCTTCCTTAATATGCATTAACTGTTCTCTTATGAAGAGTTGTTAAGGTCCTGATTCATCTAAATAATATAAAATAGGCATTGGAGGATTCTTTCCAACAACAATTCTCTGAATCTTATGTAGGCTAGGAGACCATATTGGATCTGTTATCCTGCATCATTCAAAAGAATCATTTTCCCATTCTTCTTTAGCAAGTAAGAATTGGACAGTAGTACCCTTTAGTAGTTGAGGTTCATCA